CATAAGCAATGCATTTATTATTTCTGTCAACAAACGGTGGGAATATCAATTTATCTTGTACTAAAATTGCTTTTCAATTTGTGACATGAGTTTCTGAAGACGAGGCGCGAAATGTCCCCTTCGCTTTGTATTCTCCTTCCTGTTAGCAATTATCTTCATTGTAAGTGATGTTGAGACCTTTACGAATATATATATATATATATATATATATATATATATATATATATATATATATATATATATATATATATATATATGCTTTATGGACACCTATTTGTCTGTCAGCAAAGAGTTTCAGCGTAACAATAGGTTCCTATCAAAAAGTTATTTAGAGGTAGTATTCATCATGGACTGACAGTAGTTGGGAAACCATTGAAAATCTGGAAGCACTGAACAGCCATTTCGTCCTGGTATGGGACTCCTCAGCAGTACGCACCTACGACCCGGGTAGGGGTCGAACTCAGAACCTCCAGATATTACGGTGAACGCGTTAACCATTCAACCACCGGGTTGGTTTTCAGTGGTCCGATCCCTAGCCTGATCGTGTATGCGTACTGGTGAGGAGTCCCATACTAGAACGAAACAGCTGTCCAGTGCTCCCAGATTTTCAGTGGTTCCCCAACTGATGTCAGTCCATGATGATTGCTACCTCTAAATTAAAAATCCCCCTTCACCCCAAGAAAGGTTATTTGTCACGCTTAGTCTATTAAAGATAGGTAGTTTTATTTAGGCTAGGAGCTATATAAAATTGACTTTAAAAAAATTTTAACGGTCGCTTTCCTTGGGGAATAACAAGTGATAAAAACTTATGGGTGTTTTGCTCCTTGTCAGTGACCTGATATTCTACCACCTTTTTGAATTCAACATTTCACAGTTCGCGTTTTAAGAATAATGTCTCAGCATTCTGTTTTCAAATTAGTGACCATACTTTTCTTCTTCTGATACTGATTTGATTAATGGGCTACGACTTTCCACTAGAATTTTGTACATTGACTCTTTAACAGGGAATTCCCATCAAAAACTTGGTTACCAGCTAGGCTGATAGGCTTATTCGTTAGATTTCTCTATGATAACACTTTTTATCTCTTATTTATGTCAACAAGCCGAACACCACAGTTCCCTAAAATTCGGTCCGAATTCTTCATATCAGACTATATTCTTCACCTAGCATCATGTTGAGTTTATGTTCATATCACACCAGTGTGTTAGAATGAATATGGTTCATGTAACATTCTTTTGAAGATTACAGATTTATGAATGAATAAGTACCTGGATAATTATAAGGCGACAACTAACGTATTATCTCTCTCATATAAGAATAAAATCTATAATGAGGAATTGACATTTTCTGATCTTGAAAGACGTTTCTCTACTTGCTTAAGATTGTTCGAACATTATACTTGCCAGGTAACTGCATGCTTTAAAGTGCGATGTTAAGTAGGGTCAGGTTATCCTACTTAGATATGATTTACATCTAGCAAAACTATCACCTGTTTGGTCAACTCTTTTTGAAACTTGTCATTTTGATGGTCACAGTTCATGATCAGGCGTCGATGGTTTAAGAGACTTCAGGATAACGTCGAGTATCAGAAATCTACGTTACATCAGTGGATCCATAATTCCACATTTCTACGAAATATTTTGTAGTATCCAAACTCTTTTACACGTATCTGTCGGAGATGATTAGTTGAATTTATTTCTTTATGATGTAAATTATTGTTTTAATCTTCAAGTTTTTCATTTGGTTATCCAGCTTATTGATTATTCTGTTGAACTCATTAGTGAGCAGCATTAAGTATGCACAATGACTGGAAAGGAGATTACTTGGAGAACTAGCAGGAACACAACTGATGGGTTTTTGAATTGCTATTAGGGGATTAAAGAATGATAGGAGTTATGATTGACTTGTTATCCAAGTTATCACACTTCAAAATAGCTTTTAGAACAACAACCAGGAAACTTAGTACAAGGGTCAACTTTCTAACAGACCAAGAAAGTCATAATAGAATGGGAAAAATTCAGGATACATGGTCAAATGAATATTAAATATATCTGCACCACTGTGGGCTGTTTCTTAAATGTCTAAATTGATGTTCATAAGCAGTGAAATTGGCCACTGATCAGATAACTCCACAATAAACTTATAACTTCTGAACCACTTCGAAAGACAGTCGGTGTTTTCATCTCAAATTCAACTGCTTAAATTACTTGATATTGACTTATAGTTTGTAGATTTCCCCGTACCTTATCAGCTGTTTTCATGTTTTGATACCGTTTCCGATACACCATTATTCTGTTCTACTTAATAATTGTGCATATTTGTCACCGATTTTGTATCTTAGATGATGATTTCACTTCAAAAGTTTACGTCAGTGTGATAGGTTTGACATTATCGATACGTTTTCTGGGATCCACATTGTGTCGTCATCTTGAATTTTATTGACTAAAGTGAAGGGAAGCTAGTTACCAAAGAGGAGGAAAAAATGGAATGATGCGCTGACCACTTCAAAAAGCTCTTGAATCTACCATCACCTCCGACTCGTTAACAAATACCACCGGCAACGGCAGAACTACCAGTGAACACAGGCCCTCTGACAAAGACAGAAGCAACTCCTGAATGCCATAAAACTGGTGAAATTCGGGAAAGCAGCAGGACCAGATGGAATTCCTCCAGAAGCACTGAAAACAGACAGAGACAACAGTGGACATATCCATACCACTACTGTAGAAGATTTGGAAGGAAGGAAAGGTACCTGCCGGTTGACTGGAAGGAAGGAGACCTAAGCGTTTGCAAGAACTGGCGAGGAATCATGCTGCTGCCTACCCCAAGTAAAATATTGAGCTGCATCATTCCAGGATGCTCAGGATTCAAAATTACAACCGGAACAGGCTGTCTGGCTAGCCTCAGAAATGACAAATCATGTGTGGATCAAACTGCAACACTAAGCATGATCACTGAACAGGGTATAGAATGGCAGTCCAGTTAACTCTCCATCTCAAATTTACCGACTTTGAAAAGGTTTTTCTTTGATGGCGTCGACCAAGAAGTACTTTACCAGCTGCTGCTTCAACACTACAGAGTACAACAAACCTTTATCAACCTCATTCAACAACTGTATGAAGACGCCACGTGCCAAGTAATTCACAATCCGAAGCGCAGTGATGCCTTTGGAGTGAAGACAGAAAGGAGTGAGACAAGGCTGTCTATTATCACCCACGATATTCCCGATTCTAGTCGACTGGACTGAATCATGCAACAAACCGTGAGGAGCGAGAAGAGGGGGATACGCTGGACCAATGAGGAGGACCTAGAAAATTTTGATCTCGTCAATGACTTGTGTCTACTGTCGCACAAACTCGAAGATCTACGGGTGAAAAGTAACAAGTTGAGAGAAGAGGAGAGGCAGGGCAGTGAAGACGGGACTTCAAGTGAATATAGAGAAGACAGAGGTGATGAAGATACTCAACCAACCAACGCACCACCAACAACAACAAGCTTCAATCACCATGAGTGGGAGAAACTTAAAGGAAGTAGTCTGTTTCACCTATCTAGGAAGCACTGTTTCAACTACAGACAGTGGCGGCGGCACAGAAGAGGATGTGAAAACCAGGATTGGAAAGACACCAAGACAGGCTTTCACTTATCTGAAATCAGTGTGGAGATCTACTGCACTCAGCATATGGAACAAGATCCAGATTTTCAACACCAACCTCAGTCAAGTCAGTGCTTCTATGTAGATGGTTGAGAGACTTGTGGCGTTACGAAAAGGATTTCCAACAAGCTATATACATTCATCAACAGCTGCCGCCCATGCCCACTCGATACTGAAGATGAAGATTAGATGGCCAGAATAATAAGTATAAGTAACAAGGATTACTCGCTAGTTGGCAACGAACCAACCTATAACTCATCACCGAACAAATATGCAGAAGAAAGTGGGGATGGATTATGTTAGGCATACACCGAGAAAACCATTCGGAGACATCACGTGACAGGCCCACGAGTCGAATCCAAAAAGGAAACGATGAGTTGGACATCTGAGTCGAAGGTGATATGAAGGAGATTATATGAGAAGGAAATGAAATTTTGTGAGCAGTCGTGGAGCAAGGCTGAAAATACTGCAGGGAACAGAGTGCGATGAAGGTGTCCTACTGAAGCTCTATGTTCAACTAGGAATTCAAGGGGAAAATAAGTCTTGGGGCCATTTCCATTAGTACCTAATGAAAAAGTAAATGAAGTTTGTTTTTCCGAATTATCTATATATATTAAGGTAATCTTTTCTAGCTTGAATGATAGATGGGTGACTGATTCACTTCATTCTTCTTGCTAAGTCCCCTATCATATATCCGAATTTATTCATCGCTTTACATTTGTTGTTTATGTCCATGTCCGTGTCTAGTTCAAATGACAGACAATAAAAGAGGAACAGTATTTTGGTAAACCTCTCAAGTTTTCTAACAATCTATTTTGACTAAGATTTGTAAATGATCAGTTTTATATAATTCAGTTCACCCTAGCGACAATGCATCTGTTACCTACAAAATAAACCGTATAAACAAACATTGTTCACTAAAAGATGAAATGTTTTTTACAACTGTTCAACGGAGATCATTTCATATGAAAATGTTTTCTCTTGATTTATTATACACTATTAGGAGTATTGTGATATATTTAGTAATGATGGGCAGTGGCTAGCAGTGGAATCCAGAATGCGCATTTCGTCCTATCTGGGACTCGTCAGCTGAATGCACCTGCTTCCCAGTGAGTGTTGTTCCCACCGGGACTCGGACTCGGGAGCGATCGCTTCAAACGCCAGCGCGTTATCGGCTACACCACCGAGCTACGATAGCTATTTCTTGTGTGACGGGTATAGGTTTAGTGTTATTGCTTGTATTACATCGTGATATAGTTGTATAGCTTGAAAAAAAGAAACTATTTTTATAAACTGCCATTTTGTTTTCTCTTTCTTTTAAATGATAACAATAATCAACAAATTTAGAAGGATTTCAAATGCTCCAGTATTCAACAGATCATTGATCATTTGAATATAGATAAATGTGATGATAATTTAAGATTATGGATGAATTCATCTTTATACCAAGTTTATGACAAGTCTTCTTGTCTGCCTATAAAAGTTATCCACTATCCATTGGATGAAAATATCATTTTCAATCAAAACATACATAAAATCAACACTAATGATACAAGAGAAAAAAGAATGAAATAAAACTTTTTATTGGGTAATAAATTTGTTTAACTATTCCCCTATTAATAATGAATTAATTTTGTAAATCTATTAGTTGATTGAATAGTACTTTGACTTTTGATTAAAAGCTTACTACTGTCTTCAGAAACATTCTAAGATGAAGAAAATGATAGAATAGTCACTGTACAACAGTAGTAGAAATTAACAGTTGAGTGTAACTTTATTATAGTGAATTCCGGTATCGCAGCCAGATATAGTGAGCATTAGGCGTTGAATTTAAAAGACATGAGTTATTATTCAAAATTTCTATTGATTAATTCCAACCAGTGTGGAGATTTTATACACTCCACTCAGCATAAAGCGTGAACGAAAACTGGATTTTCAACACCAACCTCAGTCAAGTCAGTACTTCTGTATGGTTCAGAGACTTGGCGCATTATGAAAGACATATCTAACAAACTACAGACATTCATCAACATCTGCTGCCTACGCTAGCTCGTTACTGAAGATCAGATGCGCAGAATAACAAGAATAAGCAACAAAGAACTCTGGCTGTCAACGAACCAGTGAAGCAAGAACCTATCACTCAACAACTATGCAGAGGAAGAAAGTGGAGATGGATTGGGTTTGGTATCAGGCACCGGGCCAGTCAGGCACTCGAGTGGAACCCAGATGGGAAACCACGAGTTGGGCATCCGGGGTGAGTGTGATATCTAAGAGATCATGCGACGAGGAAATGAGAGCTTGTGGGCTGTCGTGAAGCCAGGCTCAGAAGTTTGCAGAGAACAGAGTGGAATGGAGACGTGCTACTGAATCCCCATATCCCATTAGCAACCAAAGGGATAAATAATAATAATAATACAAACTGTTTTAGGTAACTTAACAGACTACATCAACACAGTATCAGGCTTTAGTGCTTAAAAGTTCAAGTTATTACACTTCATATCAGCATATCAAACGAGAATTCACTGAGATGAAGTAATAGGAAGTAGTAAAAGGTAGGGAAGAAGAATAAAGTAATACTGAGTTCAGTATGAAGATTAGTATCAAGATGAGATGGGGATACATCTATGCCACTGAGATAGATTTTTAGCCTTGTGATCTACAGTCTTCAAAACTGGCTCCAGTTGTCATGTGAACTTGTTCTGAGAAGTTTAAATTCCTCTGCACCCCTCGACCAACAATCAGAGACATCATGCACTAATACCATATTTTAGTCTGGTCACCTCTAACCCTTTTCAAAACCGAACCTATTTCAGAAAACATTGTGCAGTGAGGTATATGGTGACTAGACTTGCGTAACGCATAGTCCAGTCATCTGAGTTGATAGAGATTCACAATCTTATTAAATAAGATTCCTCTTTTCCCTAAACCTCTCACACCTCCCTTGTACATTACTCGTGTGGTGACACCACGACACAGGCAAACGGTCTTCAAATGCATAAAGCCTACTCGTTACCCCTCCTTTTAACAGCCATGTTTCATGACCATATATTTGAACATAGTGAACTGCCGAGCAGCATACTAATCCTCGAATTAACAATCGGATATCATGGTGGTGCCGTGAACAGCATAAGTTGGCGAAAGCTATTCGAGTCTTTTATATCTACACAAGGATTCTGTTGGCCACGGACCAATCCACCAGGGATGATGCAACTTCCTAGATAAAGTTGCCAACACTGCGAATCAATACACTCTCTGTTTTTAGATATGGTGCCACTGAAAACCATTCGTGGTTTAATAGTTTGCATTTGCGTAGCGAGAAATGTATCCCAAGCATTCTCGAATTGCTACTCAATTTGTTTGGAAAACTTTCCATCTGATTAGCATTCTTAACTAGCAAGAATATATCATCTGCGTACTATGGAACAGAATACCGTTGTGAATCAATGGATATTATTTGTAGCTCAGGAGGAGGATCTTGATGATGTTGTTTCCTCTGAGCCTAGAGAACACAGCATATGCTAGATAATGAAACCAATAAACTCAAAAGTATATTCGGAGAGAATTATCATCCAGATTATTTCTCCAAGAGAAATATGACCTAGTGGTCTCAAAAGTAGAGGTATCCACAGTCGTAAACGACTATTATTTATGACTTCACAGAATTGTATAGTCAGTCAGTATCTAGAAACTTGTTTCCACTTAGCTAGTAGCGAAAATTTCAAATGTGTAAGGTAGGAGAGTTATAGGTTCTCATTGTACAAAACAGACCCTGAAATTAGTCAATTGGTTTTCTTGTATTGTATTTATTACAATAAAAACATAGAATTATTCAGTTTTTACCTCAATAATAGTTGTCAAGTCAAACTGTGCGTATCCTTTTCAGTTCAACATTTCGTGCTAACAGCAAATAGTAGACAAGAGGAAATAAAACGCTGTACATGTAAGCAAGACAATGCCGAAGACTAAATTTTTTTTCATGTTAATAAATTAATGTTGAATTGTAGACAACTGTTTAATCAGCTGCAGTATACATTCATAAATTTTTAGCTGGTTTTCAGCTGATGTTGTGTTTTTGTTCTCTCTGTGAAAAGTATCACAGAAAAATATTAAAAATTGTACAAGATGCCAAGTGTTTTATTTTCTGACTTTAATCCACATTGTTCGATTTCTTACATTTGTTTCGAACTATGCATATCCAGGCTCATTAAGTATGTAGGCCAACGTTATTGAAAAATCGCTCTCTTAGTTATATTCATGACCATATTTTTAAGAAACGTATGTTGGGACAACCTCGCCTGGTTAACTAGTCCACTAGTTACTAGCCGGTCCTAAGCCTGGGTAAAGAGGGAAGGTTGGGCATAGGGCTAGCAACACTACCCCGTAAAACAAATCCAACCGCTAAACAAACTTCAAAGCACAAACGATATATAAAAAATAATAACAAAATTATTCCTCGCAGGAATCGGAGAGGCGAAATGACGCCAGTTGGTGAATGCCTTCGGGAAGCCAATTAGCCGGGCCGATGTGTCTTCTCTCGATGTAAGCGAAAGTAAACGTGGGGACATGGAATGTCCACACCATGTTTGAACCCAGCTAGGCAGCCCAGATTGCAAAGGAGATGAGAAGGTATAACATCGAAGTGCTTGGAATTTGCGAAAGCAGATGGAATGGAAGTGGACTCTCCAAACTGTCAACTGGAGAATCAATAATCTACTCCGGTCACCCAGACGCCAACCACGAGCACACTGAGTTATGGACTGGCTATCATGATGTCCCCAACAGTATCGAAGGCTCTCATGCAGTGGGAACCAATCTCCTCCTGCAGGATCATGACAGCAAGGTTGAACTCAAAAGGAAGGAAGGTCACAATCATATAATGCTACGCTATGCACCTACAAATAATATAGATCAAGAGAAGAAGGAGGAATTCTACAGACAACTTCAATCAACACTGGACAAGACCTCAGTTGGTGACGTTAAAATTCTAATGGGCGACATGAATGCCAAACTGGGAGCGGACAACACAGGAAGAGAACTAACCATGTGTCGAGAGGCGCTAGGTGAAATGAACTAGAATGGAGAATTGTTTGCAGAATTCTGTGCATTCAACGATTTGGTGATTGGAGGCAGTGTGTTCAGGCACAAAGATATCCACAAAGCGACATGGATTTCACCAGATGGACACACTAAAAATCAAATCGACTTTATCTCAATGTGAAGAAAGTGTAGACGCAGTCTACCTGACACAAGGTGAAGAAGAGGAGCAGATGTAGGTTCACACCACTATCTAGTGCAAGGAACCTACCTTCCAAATCAAGTTAAAAGCCTTCAAGGAAGCTGGTGATAGACCACAGTTCAAGTACAACACTCAGAAACTGAAAGATGAAACTACAAAGGAAATCTTCACGACAGCCATCAAGACAAAATAGGAGACAGAGAGCAACATCCCTGAAAAAATCTGTGTGGGAGAACACTGGAAGTCTTTCAAAGGGATGTGGAAAGAAACCTGCACAACCGTACTAGGAAGGAAGAAGAAAGAAGACAGGGAATGGATCTCGACGGATACCTGGAAGCTGATAGAGGAGAGGAGGATGGTGAAGTAGAAGATAAACCAGTGCAAGGATGCACAACAAGAGGAGGAACTGAGCACAATGTATAAGACACAACACGGGACAAAGAAGTGAAGAAGAGTGCACGGAAAGACAAAAGACACTTCTACGAAACACTGGCAAGTGAAGCAGAACAGGCTGCCAGGTAGGAGAGATAGACCTGACAACATTATGTCAAATAACCAGGTTGCTGTCTGGGAAGAGATCAACACGGATGAAACCAATAAAGAATGATGAAGGGAATTTAATTACGAAAGAAGAGAAACAAAGGAAACAATGGGTCGATCACTTCGAAAAGCTCTTGAATCGACCACCATTACCATCTGCACTTCGTCCAGAAATACCATCAGCAACCCAGCCGCTGAACTACATGTGAACATAAATCCCCCAACAAAAGTGGAAGTTCTGAACGCCATAAAGCTACTGAAATGTTGGAAAGCAGCAGGACCAGATGAGATCCCACCAGAAGCATTGAAAACAGACAGAGACAACAGCGGACATGCTCACACCACTATTGCAGAAGGTGTGGAAGGAAGGGAAGGTATCTGGCCATTGATTGGAAGAAGGGTTACCTTGTCAAACTGCTGATGAAGGGAGACCTCAGTGTTTGCAAGAACTGGCGCGGAATCACTCTCCTGTCCACCCAGAGCAAGCAAAATATTAAGCTGCATCATCCTGTAGAGGCTAAAGGATGAACTGGATTCAAAACTACTATCGGAACAGGCAGGCTTCAGGAAGCACAAATCATGTGCAGACCAAATTGCAACGCATCGCATCATCATAGAACAGAGCATAGAATGGTAATCAGCTCTATACCTCAACTTCATCGACTTTGAGAAGGCCTTTGACAGCGTCGACCAAGAAGTAATTTGGAAGCTGCTTCATTACTACGGAGTACCGCAAACCTTTATCCGCCTCATTCAACATCTATATGAAGACGCCACATGCCAAGTAATTCATAATGGG